GATCTCAGTACCTGGATAGATTAGTATAAAAGGAGGTATCCCTTCAGATACCTGGGGTCCTATTCTGTTTTTGTGGTTTGTTGAATATTTGCAAAAATTCAAGCGCAACAAGAATGATCAAGATAGATGAAACAAGGTGAGGCATTCTCAGTGAAAATATCAGTAGGCAATGGATCTTTGATAGCTCCAATGAGTCTGAATTGGTTGAGTTTCTCTTATATTTAAATATATAATAAACAAAGGTTGGCCCCATTGCAGTGTTTTATCCATTTTACTGAATATATACTCTCAGTACATAGTGCTAAGCTATAAATCTTGATTTGCAAACCACAATGGCTGGATTCATACAACACACACACACATACACACATACAGTATATAATTGTCTCCATACATCCTTTTTGAAGGAGGTGTCTGAATCCTTCTAGAACTTTTAGTTTAATTTTGTGGTCTTGGACTGCTGCAAGGAAAGGGAATTGGAGATTCTGCCAAAAACATATAATCTAAAACAGTGGTCCCCAACCTTTATGGCTTGGCAGGCCAGTGGCTGGGGGGAAGAGATGGGAACTGGCCCATGCAAGTGGTGGGCTGGCCCGTGCAAGTGGAGTCTAGTTGTGCAAGTCAAGCTGCACGCACGAGTGCCAGCCCGCTGCTCTCACAGCCCACTTCCAAACCAGCCATGGCCTGGTAGTGGACCACAGCCCAGGGGTTGGGGACCCTGATCTAAAAGATGAATACAAGTCTGTGTCCTTCAAAGAGTCAAAGGTCTTTGAAGATGAACTAACTGATATTTCCATGGACTTCTCCTCTGATTGTTCTGTTAATCCAAGGGCTGAAAGTCATGCTATGTCCTCAGTTATATAAAGCTTTAAAGCAGGATTGAGAGACATTCTTTGTGCCTGGGAGTCATATTCAAGAAGTACTTGGGGCCAAAATAGGTAGTAAGTAGGTCTAGAACAGCAAAATTGAGAAAAGCCAACATCTCTCCTGTCTTAGAAATATCATGTCAGCCTCTTCTCTGCAAATAAACAGTAGGTTGTAACTGTCTTATTTAGGGACCCCTGATGAATACAAGACTCCTCCAGTGAATAAAGTTTACTTTCTTCTGTCTGCTTCTTCCACTGCAAGGGATATGTTCTTTCCACAGCTCCCTGCCATAGATCCTGATGACAGCGGTCGTATCTCCATCACTTTTTTCCGGCTTTTCAGGGTCCTAAGGCTGGTAAAATTGCTGAGCCGAGGAGAAGGCATTAGAAATTTGCTCTGGACATTTATCAAATCCTTCCAGGTAAGTACATCTTACTGGATGTGCAAGCTCCTATCCAAGTGAAGGAAAAATCCTGAAAAATGGGATTGGACTGGGTGAAGTGGAAACAAATATAGCAATTCAACCCCTTCCAACTCATAGCTGAACTGCAGTTGTGGATGATCCTCAGATTCTTCTATACTTTATCCCCAGGCACTACCTCATGTGGCTTTGCTGATCGTAATGTTGTTCTTCATCTATGCTGTGATTGGGATGCAGGTAAGCAATGCAAATGAATATGTGCATTACCTTATTGGACAATCCATCCCTAAATCCCAGTTATAAACCATTTAAATGGACAGAGAGAAACCTTAATGTAATTACCTTACTTGGATTCTTTTTTTACTTTCAAACTCTATCCCCCCTTTTCAACATCCAAGTTGAAAAGTATTGTCAGGGCTGCATGTCATTCCTGCCTGGACCTCCAACCTCTTCATCTTTAGCAATGAAGCTCCCTAATGGATCCTTCCTTGGTCACCTCTTTCATCCTGTGACTTTTTAGCCCTTCAACTTACAACCATTCGTTTAATGACATTTCGAAGTTACAATGGTGCTGAAAAAAGTGACTTACAACCAGTCCCCACACTTACAACCATCACATCATCCCCATGGTCACGTGATCAAAATTTACAGTCTTCCCAGGGGTTTCCAACAAGCAAAGGAAATGGGGGAACCGGATTCATTTTATTTTATTTTTTTATTTCAACTTAATGATTGCATAATTCATTTAACGACTAAAGGGGCCATGGCAAAAAAAGGTCATAAAATTGGGCATGACTCACTTAATAGTTGCGCCGCTTAACAATGGAAATTCCAGCCCCAGTTATGGTGGTAAGATGAGGACTACCTGTACAGAGATTAACCTGGAATGTGGGCAAGAAAGACGGAGACTCAGAGTGATTCTGTTTCCACTGGTGAGTTTAATATCACTTGGGATATTCTTCAATAGGACTTGGGATATTTTCAGATGGGGAGTCCTAGCATAATCCTTGGGTACTTATTTCTATCCTTTTTTTTTCCTTAATGGTGTTTTGTGGAAAGTAAAAAGGTGAAAGAAACAGTAAAAAATATAGGAGAGTTACAAAGGGAAAATAATCCCTTTGTTTCAGAAAATGTGAGAAGGTGATGGTATGATAGAAACATCACCTGGAAGCACTTGCTGTTTCTTTTTTTTTTATTATTATTTTTTATTTATTTATTTTTTATTATTTAAACCGACAAACAAAACAAAACAAAACATAATACACATATATACACAATATATATTTTAACATCAACTTCGTGCCAGTATTCTTCTATTTTTTACATTTTCCCCCTTATTCTTTTTTAAAGTATTTATCCTTATTGCCCCATTATTTCTTGTTTACATTTTTCTTCCTTCA